CCCTCATTCGTGTGCGATTCAGAGGTTTCCAATTCAGCTCTCACGTACGCCTGCGTTTCATATAACGGCACGTGAAATCTTTAGTGGTAAATTTCGCATAATAAGTTTTCTGTATGCTTAAAAAGTATGTTTGTCAAAATAAAAATGTGCATCTGTTTGTGTTCGTAGTTTTGCGCGTCCTTTTGTTAATGAATAACTCCTAATCAGCTTCCAAATCCAGCTCTTTGCTTACAAAGCAGAATATCCAAATAACGGCTGATGTTGTTGGATCAGAATTATACAAATTATGCATTCTGAATTTTGATGCTTTTCATGTGCTGATCCGGTCAAAAAATTATTGCGATGTTCTGTTGGTGTATAAAGCTGGAGGGCACACAGCGTTTTTAAACTTCATGATTCTGTTTTAAAAAAACAATTTGTCAAAGTACATTTACAGGTAACAGTCATGCGCCCAACATCATCATCGACATCACTGTTCATGACATCAACGCTACTATCAGCATCCACAAGCGAACGCTCGCAACCCCGTAAAAAGTCAATACAGAAAGGTCGGGTCAGCAAAGCAGATCGAGAACGTCGTGAACGAGAGCAAATCATGGCGAAACTCCGCCGTATGATACCACAGAATCCCGAGATCATGGATTGTTCGGAACTGGCGCTTGTCAATGGCGCCATGAATTATATTATTTACTTGACGGTTTGCCTACTTCTTACCGTTAACAGAAAAGATCGTTTAACGGATCAATAGATAAAGGCTGACACGTTTATTCATTTTCCTAACACGAGAACCTCCGCGGGATGTGTGTGTGGCATCGAAAAAAACTTGATTACTACCACCTGCGTTCCCGTAGTTGAACAAGCTTCGCACGCTGACGTCGTTGAAAATTTGAAATGAGATATTAAATTGCTTTATTGGGCATGATCTTCAAATTCACAAATGTCATGCAGATGACTCGTTTCTGTTGTTACTGATTCATTCGAAAACACTTACTCCTGACTGAATCTATTTTTCTAAAGTTTTTAAAATTCGTGTTGTTAAATTATTAGAAATCAGCAGGAGATGAGAGGTAGAATACAGAAATTTTGTTGGATGCAGGTATTTTCCTTGTCAAGCCGAGAAATTTTTTAAGAAAGAGAAAAACCTTACGCCATGTATTTTCTTCCTTAATTTAAAAAGCTTATTGGACTTGTTGAAACCGATTTTATCAAATATTGTCAAAAATTTCGAGCTTCAATATAACAGGGGTACCAAGACGGTCGGCGTGGAATCCTGTGTTAGAAAAGTGCCTACCGGCTGGTTGCAGCTACGCCAGATCTTCGATTTTGGCTTGAGCACCTTCCTTATCGCCTGTTATGTATGTGTGCCACCTCTTCAGAAGCCGCGCTAGCAGTCATTTCCTTTTTGAAGTCCACTGTTAGCAAATCGAGCAACGTACCTTGCTCACGGATTTTATTTTGTCGCTTGGTAGCGATAGCATTTTACAAGCCACTCAGTTGACGCAAGATCTGACTGCCTATATAGTCACAAAAAATCACAACAAGCACCCTTCACTTCATCGCTCTCTTCGTCATTGCCAGTGCTCGTTCTTCAGCTGTCGAATAAGTTTCCACCTTCAGCATCCATACTTTACTGCCTTTCACCACACTAGTACTGAAGAGGACACTTTGAGGACACCACTATGCTGTGGAATTAGCGCCAATCGGCCACCCTCCTACATAAAATCTGCCACCAGTTTTCAGGACAGATAATTATCGTTCGTTCCGTGAAAAAATACGGCTGTATCTCTACACCGCAAACTCCCCCTTCTTCGCAGTTCCAGTTTTTTCACTGTACTGTACTTCAGATACTACTGTTCCAATATAAATTCCTGTAGATTTTTGTCTAAGGTAAAAATTAAAGATCTGATACTAGTTTTGAGCAAGAAGGAATTTTATTAAAAAGAATAGAATTTCAGGATGTGCTACGATGTTCAGCGGAAGATGTAGCAGACGAAAATCAAGTGCCGACATCCAGTATCTCTAATCTGACGCAACAATTGTCGCAAATTAAGCTTTGCAATGAAAAGCGGCTCCTGGAACCAAGCCAGCAAACCTGCGTATAAATTTTAGCAACACATTTATGAAAGTTTTTGTATTGTGCATATTATGAAAACACGTTATTTTTTTGGTTATATTTTATGTTTGTATGCATACCAAACTGCGGAGCTGGGGTTGGGGGAGCCCAAACATTAAAAGCTTAGTCCTCGACCTTCTGGAATCGCAAACCTAAAATCATCTTACGTACGTCTGTATTGCAAAATACAGCTTCAGCTCCAAACCCCAGACATGTTTATAATAGAGGAGACAGGATGACTGCCACGTGGAAATTCCAGGAAACAAATAGAGCATACAATTTGGCGCAAACGATCCATATCAAGTTCCCCAACTCCAGCAAATCTTGATCAGTGATCCCAGGTCAAAAATTAGCTTCATTTTGTAATTTTTAAGCAAAACAAGTTCATTTATCTACACAAAAATAAGATGAATTCTTCCCAACCAGCACTGAAATTTCCTCATTTCCTCATTGAAAGTTGCAGTCCAGATATTGGCCAGCGTATAACTTCAGAATCGAATAATGTATAAATTTCAACGATTTTTTAATACTTCACTGGTCGAAAGCGAATCATAGCGAGACCATTGTTACTGTTGACGCATTCGTTAGCTGAAAAATCCTAATAAATTATCGCAAAAATTTATAATCAGTTCTTGGTGTGTAGTGTTGTTTATTTCATCTTCCAGTATTTGGTGAGGCTTTTTTTTGTCTCATCAGTTTTTTGGATTGTACTCCTTGTTTGTCTCATCAGTTTTTGGATCGCTTGTTCGATTATCGTGATAAAGTTTTTTGGCAGAAATCTCAGTGATATGATAGGGATTAAGATGATTCTCCGGTTATTCTCATTTCTAGCTTGAGAGCTAGCAGCATCACATTTTGGGATCGAGTCAACTTTTTCATAATGCAATAAGTGGTAGCATTAATGTGTAATTTACATGCATTTTACATTTGGACTTATCAAATTATGCAATTGAATTTGGCTAAAAATTGAACCCGGTCAGAATCGTGAACTTAACGATTTTGCGTGCAAAACATGCAGCGGTCACTGCTGCTCCGTGTAAATCGTCCGAAACCAATGCTTTTTCTGGAGATCTGACTCGCGACCAATTCCGTCTGATTAAAGTGAGCATTCTTATCCTGGCCCATCCGAGCTACGACATTCACCTAAAATGTTAATGTGATTGAAAACAAATGACAATATTGACATATGGCGTAACGTGCAACAGTTAGTTCCCTGTGCACTGCTCCCAGGTGTTCATTGCTTGACCTCGGCCTCCTGCTTCCTCTTCTATTAATTTTAGTCCAGTGTCCACTGTGTGTTCGTTCTTCTGTA